GGATGCCAATTCCCACTGGATATCTGAAATCCAATCTGAGACATCCCCATAAACCTTCTACCTGAAATTAACTTTGATTTACATAACAGGTATCAGATTTGAGAGACCTGGTGTCTGTCTCGTTACCTGTACTACCAAACAATATGCAGTCAGTACTAGAGAGGTGGACTATTGTGATTTTGTAGTCCCTCTATGAATTCAGTACCTTCAGAAGTCCACAATATATACTTGAAATTCAGGATTATTCAGACCCAGTTGCAAAGTGATAATGGCTGTGATCTGCATCTATGGTAGCATTTAATTATCCAACAATGTGACGTAGTGATTCAAAAAGCCTGCTGTTTAAGCCTGATAAGTAGCTATATGATAAACTCTGAGAGCTTTCTAAGTCAGCCCACAGTGGCTAGTTTCTTAGTATTTAATAGTTTTAATACAATTAATGACATATAAATGCAGGAAATGTAAAATATGTATTAAAAAATTGAATTTTACATTTTTTTTTTTTTTACTTGCAAGGGGAATCTAAAGCAGTCATAGGGAGAAGATAGGCAAGTTACTGTAAAATTTACATGAACAGTGTAATAATCAAGACAACCGCTGAAGAGAAAGATAGTAGGAAGTACTTGAGTTGTATTTATCACTAGGTTATTGGTTAAGACCTTAAGATAAATGTCACTTGTTACTACATAAATGCTTCTATAGTAAGTGCATTGCAGTCCTCTCACTTCTGCTACCATAAAAAAACTACCAAAAAAACCTTTAAGACTGAGCGCCATCAAGTGCTTACAATAGCTATGCTGTACCTGAATAATACATTAGTAATAACTTTCATCTTCCTTACTAGAAAAATGCAGAAATAATCTTTTAATTTACAACACCTATGACTTGAATCCTTATATCAGTGATGTATTGCTCACACACAATGCCATATTAAAAGTTGTAAGAGAACTATAAATTAACAAAAAAGTGGTGTCACCTTGAGAAAAGTTTAAAACGCCTCTAGTTGTAGTGATTTGTTGCCAAATTAGTTTATGTTTAATGACACATAAAACTGAAAACCAGTATGTTATCAAAACTGGCCGTAAGGGGCATGCACAAAGCCCCCCAAACTGCAAGATAAAGTTCCACACTAGGAAAGTAAAAAGTGTTCTAAGTTGACTGTCAGCCCTTTTCTTGAAAAATTGAGTGGCTCTTAAAAGAGCCTTTGGGTTAAACAGTATTTCGAGTAGGTTTTTACTTGGAGCTGGTGTACTTGGTGACAGCCTTGGTGCCCTCGGAGACGGCGTGCTTGGCCAGCTCGCCGGGCAGCAGCAGCCGCACGGCCGTCTGGATCTCCCGCGACGTGATGGTGGAGCGCTTGTTGTAGTGCGCCAG